TCTTTCTTTCTTTCTTTCTTTCTTTCTTTCTTTCTTTCTTTCTTTCTTTCTTTCTTTCTTTCTTTCTTCCTCCTTTCTTTTTTCTTTTCTTTCTACTAAAAGATAGTATCCAAGACTGCTGATTTATTTTCAACTGTACGCTTGAGGCACACAACAGAGATTCACATGCAATTAACATGTCATTTCCCCTCCTAATAGAAAACAAGCAACAATAATTTCTCCCACCACCACATTTGTTACAAGAAATAATTCTGTGATTTAGTTTATTCCTGCCCATTCCTGCTACAAGGACAAAGTAACTGATTTCTGTGCAGTAAGCACATGATCCAAAGGATCCCGAAAGCAACTAGATTAGCAACTAAATGATCAAGCAACCATGTATTTGCCCACCATTAAGTTTCATTATTAATTTCACATGTGCAAGCATGCATTTAAAAAAACCTAGCCTGATTTAAATCTGACAGGACTCGGCACTTTTAAAGTTTAGAACAGATTTGGGTCTCTGGATGACAGCGCTATAGAAACACCAGCACAGAGGTTCCTTATGTTCCAGTTGTGATGTTAATATTTCAAAGTTTCTGTGCGGTTTGATGTAGCTCAGCTTTTGACAAGCAGCTGACAAAAGAATTTCTGCTCCTAGATCAAAGTGGTTACATTAATAAAACTCAAGCAAAAAGAAAAGTCAGACACAAATTTTTGTGTTGGACAATTAATTAGGACAAGCAGCTTGACAACTAGGTTTCAGCACTGCATATCTTCTGTTTCACAAATCCCAGGACATGACCATTGGCAAAGATATTGGCATGCTCACCTTTTGCAAAAATTTCTGCAAGATGGGCACAACATCCTTGCCACCTTTCTGTTGGACAATATGAGCCAGGTGCTCGACTGAGATTCTCTTCTTGAAACTCCATATCCGAGAGGAATGTATAGCACTGTCCTTAGGAAGGTGGGACAGGAAGACTGCAGGGTCCCCGTAAATAATTTTCACTACAGGGTTGGAAGAAAGTCTTTCATCTTCACTGATTTGTTTATTCAAGTCCTGAAGTGCTTCATCCAAAGCCTGCTTAGAAAACATGGCACGTGTGTGAGAGGCATCATAAAAACAGAGTGCATAAAAATAACTTTATAGAGTCATAGAGCCGAGGTGGCGCAGTGGTTAGGGTGCAGTACTGCAAGCCACTTCAGCTGACTGTTATCTGCAGTTCGGCTGTTCAAATCTCACCAGCTCACAGTTGACTCAGCCTTCCGTCCTTCCGAGGTGGGTGAAATGAGGACCCAGACTGCGGGGGCGATATGCAGACTCTGTAAACTGCTTAGAGAGGGCTGAAAGCCCTATGAAGTGGTATATAAGTCTAACTGCTATTGCTATTGCTAACTTTTTAATAGCAATTAT